TAAAAACCCTATAACCCGAGAGCTATCGAAAGAAGGCTAAAGAAAGGTCCATTTTTCGATAGCTCTCGGGTTATAGGGTTTTTATAGTGTTATGTTTGGTGATAATAATTAATAATATTTGTGTATATTAGAATTATCAAGACGAAGAAGGTACGTTAGTTTTACACGTAGAAGAAAAAACTTCGTTTTTAGCTTTAAATTTAATATAATTCATAAATCATGTTGCCTTATCATGTGGCCTACACTAAGCTACGGTCCAACCTTATTCATGTAAGATTTGATTTGATTAGCCTAACTTCAAGAATTTGATGGTTAATTAATTCACTAGTAGTTGTACTTTATAATATTATCAACAGTAAGCAAATGATCCTTTTGGAATACGAACTAAACGGCTAAACAAGATAGGCAAAGTATCAATATCTGACTCAACAAGTTGAAGTGATTCATAACATCTTTACAGAAATAAAATACAACCACAGGATAGCCGCATAACTGCATCAAGTAAGTTTGACATATTATTATCGAGCGACAAACGGTGCAACAGCTTTTCGCAAGAAGCCGAAGAGAGATTTTTGAAACTTACCAGGTACACCTAAGGATGATGCTATAATATTCCAAACCGCTGATTTTTTTGTACGATCTCTGAAATCAGATCTTGTTATATCATATAAGATAGGATGTTTCCGAACAAGTTCAATCAACCTAAATGAGTTCACAGCCATAATGCAACAAAAAGTCCAAATTCCCTAACTAGATTTCTCGCGCGAGTATAATATCGCGGACAAACTTTGTATCGTGCGACTAAAATGGTTGAGATGTTATTTAAGCTATTCTCGCTCATTGAATCATTATGATCTATTTCGCAATTTCGTCGATCTCAATTTGGATCAAAGTCGCCCCTTTTTAATATAACTTATGGTGTGAATATAAATACCGCTTTTATTAAACGTTGAAAAATCGTTATTCAGAACTTCTCGACACATAATCATACTTTTCGTTAGGTAAGCAATCTCAAAGCTTAACTGTATAAACTCGGAAGAAGAATCTTCTTGATGTTCAGTAATTCAACGTATAGCTATAGGAGCTTATACGTTGCCCTAAGGCCTAAGTAACGTATTTTTGTCCATAAAATAACTATCTAACTAAAGAAAAAATACAAAGGATGAAATTTTAACAGCCACTTGTCATCAAACTACATATTAGATGACTTAAAAGTTAGATAGCTAAGTTCTTAATTAATAGTAAATTTCTTTATATGTGAAGACCAAGAATAAAACTAAGAAGATCTAAATAAATACTTACTGAACAAATGTGGCTACAAAATTGCCACATTCTACAGGCATAATCTTTTTATCGAATAGTGCGCATTTGTTAAAGAAAATTTGTATTGTTACGTCTCCGTTCGTTAGTTAATTTTCCGTAAATTCGTTCCGACGCAACTTTAGTGACACAAGTCCTTTCTTAAATAAAACTGGTTTATTCTTTCTGAATATAACTTTGCGATACACTTAATTTCAAACAGTCGCTCTATAACAAACGCTAAATTCTCAACGAACGTCTCACGTGCTCGACTTCAACAATACTCAGTTCAATTACACACATTGTTCCATCACGTTGTGACCGTCTTAAATATACAAGACTAACACATCTCCAGTAAATGCTAGAGCATTCACGAAGGAACTGGATATTTCTAGAAGGACGTGGCGTGATACTAGTCACGTGACATCGCTGACGCAACACTGCCCCCTCCAATAGCCACTTACAATAAACCAATAACAATTAACAATAACTTAATTAAATATACAGAATTACAGACACAAAATTACAATCCAACA